AGGAGAGTTTAGGACTGTTGTACATAGGGTCGCTCTGAGTCGCAGGTGACTCGATGGCACATAACAACAACAACAACTAATCGTTGGGCGTGCTGTTTGTAGTCTCTGGGCCTTGGTTTTCTTATTTCTCAAAAGAAGCCACTGACCTGCCTCATTGTATTCAGATGAGAGACCAGAACTTCATCTTAACTGTCTGTGATAAAAGACCAATATTTTGTTTTGTTTTAAATTCCAATCAGTTAAGGATCAATGATGTGGACAGGATGGTTCCTGTCAGCTATGACTCCCAAGTGACCCTGTGAACAACGCATCTAAGCCTTGCCCTGTCCTGCATCACCTTCACAATCTCCCTGCTCAAATCCTTTGTGGTCACCACTGTGTCAGCCCCTCTAGCTGAGGGTCTCTCTCTTTTTTTCTGGCCCTCTGTCTAAGAATGATGGCTTTTTCTAAGGACTAACCTTTCTTGATAACATGCTCAAAGGGTGTGAGATGAAGTTTCATCATCCTTGCTTCTAAAACAGATTTCTTTGTTTTTTTGACATTTCATTGGCTGTTCACTACTATTTGCCGACAACACAGTTCGGAGGCATTTCTTTTTCTCCAGTCTTATATTGTCCAACTTTAAGATGCATAGGAGACAATTAAAAAGACCATAACTTGCACCAGGTACACTTGATCTTTAAATTGTCATCCTTGTTCTTTAGCTCTTTAAAGAGGTCCATGACACCCGATTTCCCCAATGCAACATCGTGGGGTTTTAAATTTTTTTTTTCTTGACTGCTACTCCCATGGATGTTGATTTTGGATTCAAGTAAAATAAAATCATTGGCAGCTTCTGTCTTTTCTCCATCCAACAGAATGTTGCCTGAAGATCCAGTGGTAAGGTTTTTATCTTCTTGATGTTGAGATGTAATTGAAATTGAATGCTGTAATCTTTGATCTTCTTCAGTAAGTGCTTTAAATCTTCACTTTCTACGAGGTGTGTCATCTGCGTAACACAAGTTGTTGCTGTGTTTTATTTTCATAATTTTTCTTCATGTAGTCCAGACTCTTAGATTATTTGTTCTACATTCAGATTGAATAGATAAGGAGAAAGGATACCACCATGTCATACCTTTCCTGATGTTAAACCATGCAGCGTTCCCTTGTTCTGTTCGGACAACTGCTTCTTGGTTTATAATAGATCTCTCAGGAGCACATTTAAGTGTTCTTAGATTCCTACTCTCAGTTTTAGCCATAATCTGATGACCCAGTCAAATGGCTTTGCATAATCGTTATAACACAAGTAAATGTTTTTCTGGTTTTCTCTACTTTCAGCCAAGACCCATCTGACATTAGCAATATCCCTCATACCATGGCCTATTCTGAATCCAGCTTGAATTTCTGGAAGTTCTTGTCAATCTCCTGTTCCAGCCTTTAAAAAATAATCTTCAGCAAGATTTTACTTGCATGTGATACTAATATTGTTTAATAATTTTCACATGCTGTTGGAGCACCTTCTTTGGGAACGGGAACAATTTGGACTGGTATTTGTTGGCAGAGCTTGGTGAACATCCAGGGCTGCTTTTGTTTCCAGAAACACCTCACTTGGCTTCCTGAAACACCTCAGCTGGTATTCCATCAATTGCTGGAGGCTTATTAATTGTCATTGCCTTTAGTTGGGCTTGGATTTCTTCCTTCAGTACTATTGGTTCTTGATCATAGGATATCCTTCATGAAATGGTTCTGTGTAGAGCAATTCTTTTTGGTACACTGACTCTTCTTTTGGTACTTCCTGAATCATTCAATGTTTTATCCATAGAATCTTTCAGTATTGCAGGTTGGGGCTTGAAATTGTTCTTCAGTTCTTGTAGCTTGAGAAATACTTGGGCTCTTCTTCCCTTTTGATTTTTAACTCCAGATCTTTGCATACTTCATTATAATATTTTATTTTTTCTTCTTGAGCTACTCTTAGAAATCATCTGTTCACTTTTCTTCAGTATTTCTTCCTTTTGCTTTGGTTTCCATTTCTTCTATAAGACATCCATTTTGGTCTGTTCTTTCTCTCCTGTCTTTGTAATGACCTTTTGTTCTAAAACACAGTGCTGTGAGTAATAGAATACTATCCATTATGTGTGCGAGGAAGACCTGTTAATACAACTATATATACCCAAGTATATGTACCAGCAACCTAAGCAAAAAATGAGTAAATTGAGATTTTTACCAACGTTTTCACTCTGAAATTGATCAAACATGTAATCAAGATGCGCTAATAGTAATTGGTGACTGGAATGGAAAAATTGGAAATAAAAGAAGGACTGGTAATTGGAAAATAGCACGTTGGTGGTGATAATGAGGCTGGAGACCAAACGATAGAATTTTCTCAAGCAATGATTTATTCATTGCAAATATCTTTTTAAAAAAACACAAAACAACATAAACTACAATTATACATATGAACCTTGCTTGATAGATTACACAGGAATCGGATTTTGTACATCTGTGGAAGGAGAAGCTCAATAATGGCTGTCAGTACAAGGCCAGGATGTGACCATGTAACAGACCATGAGTTGTGCAAGTTTAGATGCAGAAAATGAGAACAAGCCCAAGAGAACCAATACAATACTAGATAGATAACCACCAAAAGCCAGTCTTCTTTTAACATCCTTAAAGTGGTTACCTTACATCACACACTTGAAGAATCACATCAGCTTTGGATTTTATGAAAAGTTTTGGTGGAGATAATGTATTTGAACTGATTCAAACCACTTCATGATGAACAAAATGACACAGAATAAACCCAAATTTGTAAAATGTGGGCGTACTGGAATGAGAGGTTAGCAAAACAGCAGCTGTGATTCACAGTGGTTTGTCTGAATAGTAGTCTGAAACTTTTCCTTTCTGAAAACAAAGGTGGCTTTCATGACCAGCACAGTCAGAAACAATGATGGCAATTAGTACCACCACTTTGATTGTTTGTGTGTCTTTCCATAGCTCAGGCATTAATCCAGACTCCTATACCATGCCCCTCAAATACTCATTGTGTTGTTTTCTGAGTCCCCATCCCAGGACTCAAATCTGTTGCTCTCCTGTTCTAATTGTTTCTGTACACATACCCTTTACAAATTCAGATCTGTTCTGGTTTCATTGCATAGTTCAGCCAGTTTGAAGACCTAGTTTTTACAAGGTAGTCATTTTGACTAATTTTTTCCTTTTTAAAGAAAATTTTCTTTTAATTATGATTTTAACAAACATTTACAGAGAAGTTAAATTTTCATTCATTCATTGTTGCATATTTCCTCCCCTCCCTGAGTTCACTTTTTTTAAATAAAAAAAAAAAAAGTTCCTTCATTGTTGCACAATGACTTCCCTTTCCCCAGCCCCAGTCCTCATTGCAATGATGTACTTCTTATTCTGGGTTGTTGTTGTACATATAATGGCTAATCATGTTCATTTTAAATAGTTGCTTCATCTGTTCCAATGCAGTGATCATTATCTATCCACTATTCCTATTCTCCTTCCAACCTCCCATATCAAACCTGCTTTATAACATTGACGCTATGCAGTATTTGTCATTTTGTCACTGAAATATTTCGCTCAGCATGATGTGCTCAGGGTCCCCATGTTGTGTAATGTTTTGCAAATTCGTTGTTTTTCAATGGTGCATAATATTCCATTGTAAGCATATACCATAGTTTTTCTAACCATTCATTTGTTGATGGACACTTTGGTTGCTTCCATCACTTTACTATTGTAAATAATGCAACAATAAAAATGGTTGTGCTTATATCTGTTTGGATGGCAGTTATGGTTTCTTTATGGTATATTTCCAGTAGTGGAATTACTGGCTCAAATTATATTTCTTTTTCTTTCTTTTTTTTTAAATCTTATTGTGTACCATCGAATTGGATCAGATTGACGCTGGAGGATTTAGCCCTCCTTCTCCAGTGAGACATCTGGTGGATTTGAGCTGTGTGCCCTGGGGATTGCAGTGCAGCTTCTTGCCACTAGGCCACCAGAGCTCCCTTTAAATGATATTTCTATTTCCAACTTTCTGAGAAAGCACCAAACTACCTTCCATAGTGGTTGCACCATTTTACATTCCCACAAACAGTGAATAAGGGTTCCAATCTCTCCACAACCTCACCAGTATTTATTGTTTGCTACTCTGTTGGACTTTGCTGTTGTTGCTAGGGAGAGATGATATCTCATAATTGTTTTTAGTTATTTTGAGTAATTTTGGAACTGAGGTACTGCTCTGATTAAGAATTTGTTCTGTTTCCTTTATCTTATATTTTTTTTTAAAAAATCTAAAATATGGTTATGTGCCATCAAGTTAACTATGATTTGTAGTAATCTTATGAACAACATTGAACATTGTTGTTTCCTGTGCCATCTTCACCAACTCTGTCTTGTGTAAACCTGTTGTGGTCATCACTGTGTCAACCCCACATCCTGGAGGATCTTCCTCTCTTTTGGTGACCTTTCCTGGCATGGTATCTTTCTCCAAGGACTGGTTCCTCCTGAAAATATACCCAAACTATGTGAAAAGAAGTATCACCATCGTTTGTAAGAAGCATCCCAATTTGATTGTTCTTTTGGCAATCTTAGGATCTTCAATACTCTGCCAATACCACAACTCAAAGACACTGATTTTTCTACTGTCATCTTTATTCATTGTCCCAACTTTCAGATGCATAGGAAGCAATTGAAAATAAAGCTTGGATCAGGTGCACCTTTTTCTTTAAACTGACATCTTCACTCTTCTGTCAGTTTGCTGCACTGGGGGTGACTTATGTGTTACTGTGATACTGAAAGCTATGTCACTGAAATTTCAAATACCAGAAGAGTCACCCATCATGGACAAGTTTCAGTGTAGCTTACAAACTAAGAAGCAGGACTGCCCAGCCACTTCTGAAAGAAATTGCTTTCAAAAAACCTATGGGCAATGAAGAAACCTTAAGTTACAATGTGGTATTTTAGGTTTTTTCATGCTCATTTATTTCGTTTTTTTTCTTTAGCTTATCAAATATGGGGTTATTAGCACTTGTACTCTGATTGAAGATCTCCTCACCTGGAATAGCTTATATATCGCTGGACGACTCCAAAAACCGGTGAGTAACTGTGTCATGGGCACTATATGAAGAAGTCTGCCCTCTGGTGAGTCCTTAGCACAAATGACCGGGTGTCTGTCTGCCAAGTGACACCTTGGAAGTAGAGTCCACCCAGAGGCTCCTCAAGTGAAGAGCAACAAAACCAGCCTTCTGCTGTTGAGTCACTGTGTGCACACGGTGACCTCTATGTTTAGGGTAGACCTGTGCTCATGGCGTTTTCAAGACCTAGGACTGTTGGGCAGTAGATTGCCAGGCTTTCAAGGACTGAAAGATCACAGAAAGGTCACCAAGAATCACAAACAACTCAACAGTAACTGGTTTGGAGTTGCTGAGTAGCACAAGCATTGAAGTCTCAATTTTTCACCAGAAGGTTAGTCATTAGAGTCCCCTAAAATGTGCTACATAAGAAAAGCCTACATCTGAAACATTGCTCTTGAAAACTCTGTGGATTGCAGTTGTGCTCTGAGACCCGTGGGGTCACCATGAGTCAAGATCAACTCAGCAACAACAGTTTTAGGGTTTTGGTGTGTCACCTCTCTGAGCTAGTTCTTACTTTGATAGTTTTAACAATAATAAAATACAATGCCATAAAATAGCTGCAGATGTAGATTTCTTTACTCAAACCAAACCCACTGCTCCCAAGTCAGCTCTGACTGATGGCGGCCCTGTGGTACAAAACAGAATTGTCACAATGGGTTTCCAAGGCTGTGAATCTTTACAGAGCAAACTACCTCCTTTGTCTCCATTTAGATTCTTTTGGCTTTCTGATGGCATAGTGCATGGGGAGTATTTGGCTAAACCAAAGGTGGCAGCTCTCTGGCAGTTCGACTCCAAGAGCATTTCCTTGGGAGAAGGATGGGCAATTTCCTGTTCACTTTACAGCTTCCCAGAAATGCACTGGAGGGCCAGTTGCAGGTCACATTCCTTATTTCTACACACTCCAGTGCCAAGAAATACCCAGATATTCCCCTACTCTTACCTTCTCTCTGAAGATTCTTGAGCCATCTGAATCAATCACACTTGGCTCTTTTCATTTGGTTGGGGACAGATGGCACAGTGGGGCCTCTTACATACATGACACAGGCTATTTTCTAGGATGTGACTGCAATGGGAACACTTCTTGGCACATAGTAATCCCCACTGTTGTCCATTTAATTCCAATTCATAGTGATACTCCATCGGATTATGAGGCTATAAATCTTTATGGAAGGAGACAGCTCAACTTTCTCCCTCAGAGCAGCTAGTGGACTTGAACCACTGACATTTTAGGTTGCATCACAACACATAATGCATCATGCCATCAGAACTTGCCACAAAGGAAACAGAAGAGATGTTGAATAAGTTGAGGATGAGCCTTATAGTCATTCTAAGAACAATAATGTTCTGACATTTTTATGAAATTATCCTGAGACTAGTGGTGGCATCAGTTGTCTCCTTCTTGCCTCCTTTTAAACTCTGTTCGAGGAAGCTTTGGGGAGTCATCTTCTCCTTGGTCTCTGATATATACATCAAACAAGCAAACAACAGTGAAATGATAAAGGACAGACTGACAACTGTTGGCAAATAGCATGTTCCTTCCGTTTTGCACACGTTATCTATTTTATGAAAAGAAGGATTCTTTTCATAATGTTTAAGAAATATTGTAAATAGTTGTTAATCTCATACACCTGGCACAAAGAAAGATTTCATTGTAATAGAGTGTCTTGGGCCCCTAAGAAGGTTATGGATTTCCCCAGAGGTCTTCCCAGTGACTGTACTGCTCCTCCTTTTAGAATCAGTGATGACAAAAGATTGAGGGACTTAGACAATCTTAGCTTAGTTGGTTTATGTCATTCATAAAAGTCTTTTTATTGATATATGTGGGCCTTGAGATTCTTTTGCCTTTTACCTTACAATTTGAAACTTAGTAATGTGGCACTTTAAAATCTGGGTGGTTATATGAGTATGTGCCTGTGTAAAAATGTATCACATTGTAATGACATGCATTTAATTGGATGTAATTATTCAGTAAGAATGTGTTTTAAAAGTCCAAAAGCATTGTTGTTGTTGTTGTCAGGTGTCACTGAGTCGACTGCGATTCATAGTGAGCCTGTCAACAACAGATAGGAACCCTGTGCTGTTCTTTGCCATCCTCACTATTTCTAATATTCTTGAGCCATTGCTACAGCCACCGTGTCAGTCAATCTTGTTGAAGGCGTTCTTCTCTTACACTGACACCTATACCTCCAAGGACTGGCCTCTCTTAACAACATTTACCAAAGTATATAAGACAAAGTTTCCCATCCTAGCTTCCCAGGAGCACTCTGGTTTCACTTTCTTTAAAACAGACCTGTTTGTTGGTTTACTGAAATAATTTCATATCTAAATCTGGTGGCCTACTGGTAAGGAGTTGTGCTACCAACTCAAAGGCATGCGGTTCAAATTCACCAGCTGTTCCATAGGAAAAAGATGGTCCATCTCCTCCTGTGTAATAATTTATAGCCTCTGAAAACCCACTGAAAGGTCAGCTGTGAGTCATTTCCAACTCAACATACAACAGCAAATAAATTAATTTCTCTTTTATAGACTGTTGCTGTTATGTGCCATCGAGTCGCTTGCGACTCATAGCGACCCTATGTACAACAGCCCTGAACCCTGCTCTGTCCTGTGCCAATCGCACCATCTCCAACACACCCATCCTGATTACCCTGGTCACTGAATCAGGTCACCTCATAGAGGGTCTTCCTCTCCTGTACTGTCCCTCCACCCTCCCAAGCATGATGTGCCTCTCCAAGGACTTGTCCCTCCTTACAACATGTCCAAAGTATGGCAGATGAAGTTTCAGAATCCTTGCCTCCAAGGAGCAGCCTTCTTTAACCCTCTGTAGGATGAACCTGTTCATTTTCTAGCAGACCATGGTATATTCAATACTCTTCTCCAGCACCACAGTTCAAAGGCATCAATTCTTCTATCCTACCTAGTCATTGTCCAACTCTCTGATGCATAACAAGTGATTGCAAAGACTATAGCCTGTATCATAACTAATATCATAATTTTAAAAAATAAACTGAAAATTTGTAAATTCTCATTTTGTCTCTGTGGCTTTTAAGTTTACAAATGGTATTGCTTGGTAGGAAGAGTAAAGAATATGGGATTTGAAGCCTTGGCTCATATTCATTCTTGCCAGTTATTAACAGTTTATAGAAACTTAAGATGAACCTATAGAATGGAGATAGCAGTATTTTCTCTACCTACTTAATGAACTGTGAAAAGAACAAACAGATATGCCTTATAGAAAGTATAGCCAGAATGTTCCTTGGAGGCAAAGATGACAAAGCTTCATCTCATATGCTTTGGGCATATTGCTATGAGAGGCTGTTCCTTGGAGAGGGACCTCATGCTTGGAAAAGTAGAGGGACAACAAAACCAGCTGGATTGACACAGTGCCTGCAGCAATGGACTCAAGTGTGTCAGAGATGATGAGGATGGCATAGGATAGGACAGGGTGCAGATCGGTCACTGTGAGTCATACTTAACTTGAGAGAACCTAACAGCAACACAACTTTCTGAAGTGTGACTGGTGACTTAGTGGTAATGGCCAACCTAAAGACACATGGCTTGAACCCACCCACTCCTGCATGAGAGAAAGATGGACGGTCTCTTTTTGTGCAGTTTATAGCCTCTGAAAATCCACTGGAAAGTCAAGCTGTGAGTCAGTGCCAGTGGTACATAACAGCAAACAACTTCATGAAGATTTTGCAAGTTGGAAGCAATATAATAGTGTTGAAAAGAACACAAGTGATTGAGAATATGGCAGACCTGGAGTTTGGCTTCTAGTTCTTTCCACTCCCTGGTTGTGTCACCTTGCACACTTAATCTCCCTGAGCTTTGGCAGACATTTATCCATGGAGATGACACGTAGAAGGACTCTCACATGCCAGGCACGTAGTAACACTCATCAGATCACTTTTTTCTTGTCTCAATTCTTTCATAGCTCAGCATTGTTACTTTATTTAAGTTCCAGAATGTGAAGATGTTGTATTATTGCCCTATTCTTTATTCTTGGAATATTTAAAATTTGAAAAAAGAAATAAACTTTAGAAACTGAAATGCCATGAAATCTTAGAATCTAAGCAGTGAAAATGACCTCAGATTTTATCTAAATATGTATTTAATCATACATCATGCATTTATGTTTTATATATTTAGATTTTATCTAAATCTACATATTTATCTAAACCTAAATAGATATTTATATATTTAGATTTTATCTAAACATCATATATTTATCAAGCATCGTGCATTTATGTTTTAAAATTAAAAGGCAATACAAGACAAGTGGTGGTTGTTGTTGCGTGCCATCAAGTTGCCTGTGACTCATAGCGACTCTGTGTATAGCAATCCTAAACCCTGCTCTATCTTATGCCTATTGTCTCCGACACACCTACACCCATTACCCCAGTCACTGAATCCATCTCATTGAGGGTCTTCCTCTTTTGCTCTGTCCCTCCACCCTCCCAAGCATGACGTCTCTCTCCAAGGACTGGTCCCTCCTTGCAACATGCCCAAAGTATGTGAAACGAAGCTTCAGAATCCTTGTCTCCAAGAAGCAGCCTGGTTTCACCCCCTCTAGGATGAACCTGTTTCTTCTCCTAGCAGTCCATAGTATATTCAGTACTCTTCTCCAGCACCACAGCTCAAAGGCATCAATTCTCCTTCTATCATCCCTAGTCACTATCCAGCTTTCTGACACATAGCAAGTAATAGTGAAGACTATGGCCAGAATCAGGAGTACCTTAGCCTCCAGACTGACATTGTTGCTCTTCAGTGCTTTGGAGAGGTCTCTGACAGCAGACTTCTCCAATGCAGTTCATCTTTTAATTTCCTGGCTGCTGGTACCAAAAGTGTTGACAGTAGAGCCAAGCAAACTAAAACTGTTATCAATATCAATCTCTTCACTATCTGTTATGGTGCTACAGCAGCTGGGAATATTTTCTGCATAAGACCTCTTCACAGTTCTA